TATATATATATAATAGTTTAAAGCGCAAATGATAACGTATTTCAAACTAGACATTCTAAGGAAATTAAAGAAATAACTTTATAATAATATACTAATTATAAGTATATATTTTATCGTACATTATATTTAGAGTATATATTAATATATATTTACAAAAACATGTAAACATGTTTAACTTTCACAAAGAAATTATTTAAATTTTTATAATCCTTAAAAACACTCTTATGATATGAATATATATATATTAGTGTGTGCTCACCTTATGTTGCAAGTACAAACCAATATTTTATAGTAGATATATACAGGTATACTCATATATTTCATTGAAATTAATATTAGAATTCTGAATATAATATAAAAATGTACAAGGTATAATAATTAACAATGTTTACTAACCATAAGCTGCCATTACGCTTTTGATTTTAACTGTCTTGAATATTATATTTGTTAAACTCAAAAAATTGATAGTTGATGCAGCCATGATGACTGAGCCATCTGTTATGTAAGTGTAAAATAGATTGAATGAAAAAATAAATACAAGAAAGTTTAAATTCGGGCTAATTAATTCTAACTTTAAAGTATCTAATGTCCATAATTAGTTGAATGATTGTAATTTTTGTACCATAAACCTTAATGACTAATACTCGTATAATACATTTTTAATACATAAAGTATTAAAATACAACTAACTACTTTGGACTTAATATAATAATAAAAATATGATTATAATTAATTATTAAATTAATTAACAGTAATCAATATAATAAAGTAATTTATGTATAGATAATTAAAATGGAAAATTAAAAATAAATACCAGTTAGATAATACATATTTTTACTATAAATATGGTGTTTTTTAATAATTAATATATAAGATAATAAAATGATTTCCGTTACTCATTTGCAATTTTTAAATTTAAATTGATGTATAATAATTCTGTTGTTATATTTTTATTATAAATTTTATTTCATTTGAAAAAAACACAATAAAAATTATACACTAAAATAATTGCAGTTTTATCAAAAATATTATTTATATTAAATTTGCATGGAAAATTATTTCTTAATAATTCTACATATTTAATTAATTTAATTTATAAATATAAAATTACTTAAAATTATCGATTTTGGTTATCAAGAATTTAAAATAATATACTTATTTATTAACCAGTCATTTTTACACTCATTGTTTATAATTTTATGACATTTTTGTATTTCAAAACCCAAGTTCAATGATTTTAATAACGATGGGCATAGTGATAGCAAGTTTATGGTTCCATAGTGAAGAAGAGGCATAAGTCCACAATTTTATAAAACCAAGTGAGTATTATACCACTTGTATTATAATAAAACACAAGTCATATTTTTCATTTCATTTCTAATTTTCACACCAAGTACGTAGGTATATAATTTAATTAACTACAATTGTTGTTGCGATGGATACATTATCTTTTTGAGTATCAACATTCATCGTCCTCTAAAAAGGATAGGAAAAACAATCCATTCGCTGCATTAAATGTATACATGTATCTTATTTATGTCAATAATTATGATAAGAGGATATATATATTTTTTCTATTCGATTAATTATGGACTTATTAATTCGTGCAAAATGTAAATTAACCCTAGCATTAAATTTATGTTATATAATAATTTATAGTAAAAAAATAGTACAAACAATTATTGTAATATAATATTTTATAAATGCTTTCTTATAAATAGGTAATTTTTATTATCTATAACTTATCTCATATTTATATTTAATCACTTAATAAAATATATATTATATTATGATCAAATACTAAACATACGAAAATGATCATAATTATTTAATAATAAGAGTAGAATTAATATGGAAAAATAACATGTTTAACGTACAAAAATGCTTAAAACGGTATAAATACATTTAATTTTTAATTTGATATGAATTTATTACAAAACTAAATTATCTTTTGAGTGAATTTATCACTAGCGCTTTATTTTTGGTATAACTGACCAATCTCTATGAAATGTATTATTTAGAATTAACACACCACTCGTCTACCGATGTTTCCAAACCACTGAGTGTAATCAAATTATGTGTGATATATTTGAAGAAAACATCATATAAAATCACGTACGATAAAACATTTTTACATAATACGTATAATAATAACAGCTGTAGTTTATTTTTCTTCGTAAACAAATCATATAATAAAAAATGTAGGTTAAATAAACCACAGCTTTTGTTCATCTACTTTGTCAATGTCCAGAACTACTTAATAAAATTTTTAATAATTAATTTAGCAGTCGTTTTTCTTTTAATATTAAGTCGGAACACTTAGATTCGAATAGCAAATACATCAATTTGCTTAAAAAATATTTAATTAAAACTTATTGTGTATAAAAATTGAAAAACCTTGATCAAATAATTATTAGTGCTGCTTGCTAAGAAAAAATAATTTCTAAGACATGTTTAATTAAAATCGGTGACAGCCACAGTTATAGACAGAATCTATAATATATATCATCGTTTTTCTTAAAAATATTATCTTTTTAAAACTGATGAAATATCTAATTTTAAACTTATGAAAATTGTAAAATATCATCTGCAGTACATTTGCTTATTCATATATATGAACACTTTTTAAAAAAATTGTAAAAATTAGTTTTATTTGATAAATTTACTCAGAAGTAATTTGGACGTATTGTCGAAAAACCAAGGGCAAAAATCAAAAATGTCAAAACGTATTGCTTTTTTTCCGTATAGTTCGGATATAATGACATTCAAATATACAAATTCAGCTGTAAAATCATATAATTATCCTCTGTAAGGAAATATTTAAATGTTTCCATACATAATGTTCATAAAATAAAAACGAAAAATATTAGATAATTTGTTTTTACCTATACACATTACGCATTGAAATACAAGTAGAATGTATGTATATTTTTTTCACCCTGTAGTCATATTTTTTCGGGAATCAAAATGTTGCAACAAAAAATAATGTGCCGATTTGAATTTAAAAATTACTTTGTATACGAATCGTATCACGAAGTCTGCGAGGCTTACCCTTGTTTTTTCCAACTTCGTATTTATCATAAATGGATAAATAATAATATGTTAATTAGCTAAAATTGATTTGACATATTTTCATTATTACGCATAATATATTTTATAATAACATGTATAAAATAATACGTTTTTATCGCACTCGTTGTTGATGGACATGCATGGACATACGACTAGCACAAGACAAATTGCTTTAGTCTTCCGCTCGTTAAAATTGAACCCAATAACGTATCACTAATTCGACGTCACGACTCACGGTCGGTAATAATTAATATCATTTTCATCATGTGTCACCACTGCCGGTAATTCGAACGCGAATCGATTGACCCATCATTATAATATTATTTTGTTGTTGATGGATCTCTACCATTGAACGCAGATTATACTATCTGTACTCGATGATATTACTCATGTTTTCATATAAATATATGTATATTGTGCTCTGGTGGCTCACATTCGGATGGTTGTTTATAGTGTGTCGTTTAGTGTCTAACCACCGCAGTTGCCAGACGCTCTCTCGTTACTTATACTCGTATTACATATTCTGTACCCAATCAGTACCTAGTGCACTCGATTGTTATTTTCGCCGTCTACTAGTAGATTCGATAGTCACAGACAGTAAGGTTAGTAAAGTAATGCAGTATTTATTTAGGCACTTTACACGCCAGACTATACAGCAAAATAATTGTTGATCGTGATAACCAACACAATTCGTCCTGTTCTACCACCATATTATAACATTAGCGGGGGGACAGGTTTTTTTTTTTATGTTTTTTGGACGGTAACAACGAGGACGACGGTACACCGGGGTCCATCAAAAGAAATAAATCCACCGTGAAGATCGGCGGTGTTTGTTGAACGACTAAACGCACAACGTAACCGACTGCTACGGTCGGACCAGTCGTGAAAAGCAGTACCAGTAAAGACCGTGACAATTGCGTCGAGAAAAGAAAAACAGCCAGCTCTCTGCTGCAACACCAGTGGCAGTAGATACCATAAGCGCCAACATTGCTTACAACATCGACATCGCTGGATAGAGGTACGCGTTTTTATGAATATATGTATACAGTTTTATAAACTCACCCATATAGAATAGTTATTTACGTCGGTATCGTTGACTATTTATTTTCCCAAGTAGATATTCGCTACTATTATGACATTATAGTATGAGCTGTCTCTCCGTCATCTCGAGTGGTCATTGCCCTCTCCTGAGAGAGACACAAAGATAGAAAGAGACAAAAAGAGAGAGAGAGAGAGAGAGAGAAAGATAGAGATAAGGAAACAAAGTATGCCCAAGAATAAACGGTTTTGTTCTTAACAGTGGTGATACAAAAAAAACATACGAAACATACTGTGCAAAACAAATATATTAGGAATACCTAATCATGATACAGCTAAACAAGTGGGCTTAAGAATAATTTATACAAGTACACGTGACATATTTGACGAGTATGAACGATTAGATTTCTGCATGGTATTTTTTACTTTTATTTTTTTTTGTTATTTGTATCACTATATTAATTACGTAATTAAGCTTCATATGTACTTATTGAAGAGCTTAACTTTTTTCTACAAATTAACGCAAAACATTTTATTAGAAAAATAAATAAGTAGGTCTATGGAGGTACTTGAACTTTCTGAATAATATACAAAAAAGTATTATTTGATATTATTTTAATACATTAAACTTGTAAACAAGATGTGTAAAATAGTATATGATTTCTAATTTACTATAAATTCATAAAGCATAACATAAAAGTACTTTTATTTCACTATAACGTGTATCTGTATAATCGGCTCAATTTCAATTTTAGAATATGAGCAATTTTATTAAATTGACATGAGTTTATATAAAATTGCTGATGTTCTAAAATTAAAATTCAGCCGATTATGCGGTTATACGTTATAGTGAAATATATATAATCTATATATCATGTTAAACAATTATTAAGAAATGCGTAAGATGCAATAATACCCAATATAGTATAATATTTTGTTCACGGGTGTAATTGAAATAAATATCGCAAGAACATAATATTACGTTTAATAGCCTTGTTTTTCTTATCGTTGAAAATAAAAATTTATTTATTATTTTATTAACTTTTAAGATAATTAAAAAACGCACTATTAATATTATATATTATTTATATATACCTTTTTGGCATTGGAAATGGTATTTGGCAATACCATTTCTGTTATACTAGAAAAGAGTAAAAAAAGTAGTATAAATATATTTTAATTTAATTAATATTTATTTAAATATATGAAGATTTTAAAATTATTATTTATTACAAATTGTATGAAAATTTCGAAAAAGTTGTAGTTATTTTCTCTCAGATGCGTCTCAAGTTTAAATTTCGATTACAATTTATGGTTTTTGAGAATTATATGATATATTTGATATTGACCTATTTAAGGTTTGAAGTATATCCCAATCTTTATAATACGTTTATCACTTATCTAGTATCCTATTCTAAAAGAAAAGTATTGAAGGTCGAAGACTTATCTTATTTGCTTTTTATTCCGATGTCTAGTCGAGTAAAATAGAAATATTTACTAATGACGGTTTCCAATGTTTTTTTTATTAAATTTTAAATTGTAATATTAACTTTCGTTAATTATTCAATATTTATAAATCATCTATCAACTCTCGTACTCAATTATTACACTTTTTGCCAGAAAAAATTTTAACCGTCAGAGATAAATGTTTTTAGTTTAAAATACAAATATTTAAAGAATGGTATTGTTTTCTAAATAATTACAATAATATAATGTAGTTATCTACAGATAATTTACCAATATTTCTTGGTATACATATTTAGTATGAAATAATGAAAATTTGTGTATTTTTATTTGAACGCTGAGATCCACTCGTATAAACATTTACAATCCATATCATACTTCATAATGAAGATTTGTTGTAGCTTTTAATTACATTTCTCCATTGATTATTTTGAAACCAAGTTTGGTATGGTTTTCAAAAATAACATATATTTTACTATCATACTACACAATATTAACATAATCAATATTTGTATACGTTATTTGACGTGTACGTTAACACTTTAATTCCAATTAACTTAATTATTAACTTAAAATTAAACGATAAAGTATAAGATTAAAAGTGGTAATACTTTTTTTCTATCTATACTAAATATTATATAATAATAGTATGTATTTTTATCAATGAAAAATGAATTGTAGTATAACAAAAACTGATTTTTTACTCTAATAGATACATATAATCTATTAATTGTATTCAATTAACAACAAGACAATTATGTATTCATTTTCAACTTAATAAAAATTTAAAAATACAAAATCTTGTTTAACTCCTAAATAAAAAATAATTTTACTGTTTATATTGTTTTTATTAATAACTTTATTCGAGTGAGAGTTTTCCATTTACTCATCATGGATTAATAATTATAACTAATAATAAATTAAGTAAATCAAATTATAATACTATTCATAATAGAAGAAAAATAGTCAGATTTTAAAGTCTTAAATCTTAAATAAAATTAGGATGATTAAGTAAAATTTAAGTTAAGGTACTCACTTGGAAAAATATCTTGTTCAAATTTTATTGTAGGTACGTATATTTACATTTCTCAGTATAATCTTTTATCTATATAATTTTAACTATTATATGGAACCAATATATTTTTGTTGAAAATTTTGTTGAATTATAGATATTTGTTTGTAATGAATTATATCAGAAAAATTATTCATAAAAAATAACTTCCATTACATGTTCATTGTATAGTAAAAATCGTAATGAAACTACATAACACATTACCATAAAAGTAACGTTACCTTCCATTACATTACTACCCAATACTACTTATTACCATATGTATAAGTGTATAATATTATATTTATACTTGCTTTTCCCTTACTAACAGTATAGAGAACATGGCAAATTCGATGAAAAGTGGCGGAGGCAGCAACAATGGCAGCGTTTACAACGGCAGCGTTGGTGGTATACGAGGGCACTGTGGCAGGGTTGACGAAAAACATCAGCGGTACAATCCTTTTAAAATGAGGGATAAATCTAATACGACCACGTGCGTATAATAGCTACAGTAAACTATCACTTTTTCTATTGGCGTGTAACCGTTTTTACTATTATTTCCTAGTGCTACCGGTGCATTGGTGCATTTAATAAAGAGTAGTCTTGGTTCTGGTATCCTCGCCATGCCGAACGCGTTCAAAAATGGTGGCTTAATTTTCGGTCTAGTTGGAACAGCAGCCATCGGAGTGTTATGCTCACACTGTATCTACCTCTTGGTAAGTCAAATATTGCGCACCCATCATCACTTTTCACTTTTCACTTGCAGCACTCAGTGCCAAGACCTCCTTCATTGTTAAGTTGACGGATATATAAACTATGCTGTAAATATATTTTAAATTTCAAAACTATATAAACAATATGTAATTGCAAAACCGAATGAACATAGACCGTTATATAGAATGTTGACTATAAAATAATCTGTACGTAACGTGTTTTAAATTATATTTAACTGAGACTTTTATACCAAAAAGGAGGAAGGCACACGATTATCTCAAAAGTTATTTATTCTTGATTACTTTTCAGGTATTATGCTCGCAAACTCTTTGCCGACGTACCCGTCGTCCGGCTCTCGGATTCGCCGATACTGCTGCCGTGGCATTTAATACCGGCCCGCACCGACTTCGCGCTTGGGCTCCGTTCGCTAGGTATGACAATATTATAATACATATATGTAAATAATATTCGTACTATACTACTACTGTGAATAATATAATAAGGTATCGTTTAACTTTAATTTGTTCGCACTTGATAAGCTAAAACAAGTAGTAATTAATTATTAAACGATAATGATAAATTATAATTTATTGTAGTAATTATAAAAAATACATTATTTAAATAACCTTATGAAATTCTCTAATCGACCAATATAGCTGTAAGTTAGAAATTGTTTTAGTAATATATTAAATACTCTAAATAAACTTAAAAATAATTTCCTATCACTATTGAACGTATACAGTTATTAATTGAATATATCTATGCAATTTCATAATCAGTTTTTCTTTATTATTTACATAATTTATATTGAACAATAGTGCATACAGTTTTTTATTCAACAGTATAACTAACATATTAATATATTTTTCCGGTATGTTACCTCGATGCGCGTTGTCCGAAACATATTAAAAATATCTAACACAAAGAGGGTTTGTTAACGTTGCACTGTTCTGCACGTATTATTTTGGAAACTGTGTGTACGTCATATTAATTGCAGCATCATTCAAACAGGTATATTAACTTATGATATTAATTATATCGTAAAATGTTCAGATACTATTATCTTCTGGTCTCATTTTCATGTCAACGTTTTATAGGTTGCTGAAAATCACACACCGCCGGAATGGCATTTTTCCATCCGTGTTTGGATTTTGTCCCTTGCCATACCACTCATTCCACTAGGAATCATACGCACGCTCAAAGTGTTAGTCCCATTATCGGCTCTGGGTACAACATTTATACTCGTGGGCTTGGGATGCACCATGACGTGGGTGGTGACCGGGGTCAGTCCATTTGCAGATAAGGCAACAATTGCGGCATCTGTCCCGTTACCCGATATCGGATCTCGTCCTTGGATCGCTCCTGTCGCACGCATGCCACTGTTTTTTGCGACGGTTGTATTTGCTATGGAGGGTATTGGCACCGTTAGTGACATTAGTAATTTTAACGATTTTTAACCGCTAATTAAACTTACCCATTTTTTAAGGTCCTACCGATCGAGAATTCGATGCGCCACCCAGAATATTTTCTCCGGGCTCGCCCGTGTGGAGTACTAAATGGTGCTATGACGCTGGTTGTATCGTTATACTCAATAGCTGGCTTTATTGGATACTTGCGTTTCGGTGACACCACCGAAGGTTCAATAACGCTTAATCTGCCCAACGATTTGTACGTATGGCAATATAGTAAATAACTTGTTAGAGTATATTTTTTAGTAACAGTAGAAATTATTTTAATACGTTTTATTCTTCATTCAAATGTTAACAAATACAGGCTTTGTGAGATTATTAAGATGATGGTCACGTTATCAATAGTATTTTCGTACGGCCTACAGTTTTGTGTGCCTAGTGAGATAGTTTGGTCCCACTTGGAACCATGGCTACATAAACGCAGACTTAACTCAAAGTATTCCACTTCGAAGAACGATATCAAAGGTATCCCAACAATATCTAAGAGCTGCATTACCGATAGTATCGTGACAATGAATACTGCAATTTCTACGAAGAGCATCGTGACCATTGATGAAAATAAACTGCCTGAAGAAAAAATGGAGCTGTTAGAAGAACCTGTGGACGGGATGTACTATATTATGCGGGCTATCATGATCGTGGGCACCTGTACAGTACTATATTATTAAATTTTTTTTTATAATCATATTTGATATTAATGTTTAACTATGATTGTTATAGTGCTTATATCCGCTGCCGTACCAAATCTTTCTCCTGTCATAGCACTGTTTGGTGCTGTATTGTTCTCTACATTGGGCTTGTTCTGTCCGGCCGTAATCCATTTGGTAGCTTTCTGGGAGCACAATGACGAGGAAGAAGAAGATTTTAAAGAACCAGATTTCGATGATGATTTAGAATATGAAGTGGACAATTATGCAGTTTATGATGCCGCGGATCTGGAATACGGCAATAAAGTACGTTGGAAACAACAAGAGAAAAAAAACTGTGACTTATCAGTCAGCAGAACTAAAGGTATGAGTAAATGGATCATCATTAAGGACATATCGATAGTAATCATTGCTGCGATGGCTTTAGTTTTTGGAACTTATGCTTCTCTTATAGATATTTTTGCGTTTTACGGATCCGATATTATAGTGAATGAAAAATAATAAATAATAAATAACTATAATAATAATTTATTATAATAAATAACTGCACTGTAAATGAATAATATCATTTAAAAAATATCCTAAAAAAACTATCCCAAATGGTTACAGAGATAAATACTTTAACTAGAATTATAAATAGTATTACTGTCATTGTGTCTACCATCACAACTACTTGAAAACATCTGAAATTATATAAATACAATTATTACTTTCATGCTACAGAATCAAGTAATCTTGTGAATTTGTATATGTAATAGCTTTTATAAATAAATTAAAAAATCTGTGTGCCTTATATTTTTTTTAAATAATGTTCATAAATGTTATTAATCTTCATGTTGTTTTTTTTTTTTTTAAAAAGAAGCTTTGTGATTTAAGGCTGTTAGTTATTTTTGCTGATTTTATCAGCTTCTAGTAAGTTTTATTTTTATTTAAAAATGTAGTTGTTCTTTACTTTGTTTTGTTAACCATTGAAGTGTTTTATGCAAAAATGACAAGAAAGCTTAAATTATAATAAATCATAAATTATAATTTTTTTAGTATTGTTATTTTTATTATATTATTATATTACTGTTGTTTATGTTTAACTTGTTTAACCATTTTATTGACTCATACATTATTTTTAAAATTATTTCTCTGTTTATACAACTATATGCATAATTGTTTATAATTTATTTTATTTTTTATTAAATAATGAAAATATGATAAACAAACTATAGAATTAAACAGTGGATGATAATGTTCATTATTATATTTAATAATAATTCATATTATATACGCATTATTTTTATTTATTTGAAATATATAATTGAATTTTTTATAACGTATATCATTCTAGTGAATGAATACGAAAATATACGAAATTGTTTAATGTATACTTTTAAATTTAGCATATGTGATTGTTGTTTATTTTTAATACTTTGGGGTTAACATTTTTTAATTATTGTATAATTCCAATAAATAAAACATAAAATAATTTTAATTTGTGTTTTTTGACTAATAATTATGGTTTTAATTAAGAAACTAATGTCCTCTGTATTATGTTTCATTTAAACATCAGATAGAAATTTGATCAACTTAATAGTCAATGTAAAAAGTTGATAATATATTTACGTATAAATAAATGTCTACATTCTGCAGTATACCAGTGAGTATTAACATACGTTATAAGTAAATAAATTAAGAGTTAAACATTACTCCATCATTTGTGCTTTCTATATTAAATTGAAAAATATGACTCTATAAATTTAAATTGTTGGTAAATAATCTTACAAAAAGCTTTGAATAATATTTCATACAATCATAGTCAACAGTGAGCCACAGTGGCACAGTACACTTATACACATATTTAAGATTTGGAATCATATATATTAACATTATCTGCTTGCTTTAGATTATATATTACACAATTATATATAGACGATTTTAAATAATAATTAATTATGATTTAACTTAAATGAACAAATTTACTTTATTGTAAATTAAATATGAAGTACATTTAATTTTTGGTACTCGAAGTCTTAGAATACTTGTACAAATATTTTGCTTAAAATATAAATATATCGATAATTTAAAACAATATTTTACTATTGTATTGTGTAAATACTTTTATTGGTTTTTTTAATTCATCTAACTTATTGTTGATTAACTAAATTCATAAAAATAGTTGTAAAAGTTGATTTAAATTATATTCACAGAATAACATTTTATACCATCGCCTGTAAAAAGCAAACAAACATACATTATAAAATCGTTCAAACTAAACATACGAACTTATATACGCAGTGGTTGCTTTAGTTATCTACTCAATATTACTACGGTGTGCAATAAAATAACTGTAGTACGAATAGGTAGAATAAGGAGAAGAAATCCGGTTAACGTGTTCACGATCAGTGTGTTAAAATAATTAATATTTCCGATTATAATTGAGTAAAACAAAAAATTTTATTTATGTGATAAAGTTTAACGGCTTTCAAGCAATTATAGTGAAAATTTTGAATACCTATAACACAAAATGAAAGACACACATTTTTAAAAATGTTCATATGCTTCTACAATAAGTTTAAATAAAAAATAATACAAGTTTAAGTAATACTTATTTCATTACTCGTATATTGTGAAATAATTTTCTTATATGATATGAATGCAAGTCAATACTTTTAAAATTATAATTATTATAATTATATTTACAATATTTATGTAGAAACATAAAATAACAATATATTGTAGATATTGTGAAAGGTACACAATATAGATTTAAGTGATTAAATGACTAATATATAAATTAAAATAAATAATAGTTACATACAAATATATCGATATTAAAATTAACTACACAATGCATGGTTCTAATTAAAGGACAATGTTTACCATATAATATACACTGGAATGGCCCATAAAAAGTCTGTCTAGTAGTGCAAACGAGTACTAAAACAATTCATTTTGATAAGAAGTCTGGACAGTAATTATAACCAAACATTTGACACACCGGTGAAGAACGATTAAGAATAGAATATTTTATGCGATATTGTCACATTCGCGTTCTTGAAATGTTGTAACTTATATTCTTCACGTATTATTAAACCAATTATTAACAAGGCTGGGCAAGTTAACGATTTTTTTTTAATTCGTTAAGTTAAGTTATTTTAAAATAATATTGTTAAGTTAAATTAAAAGTTACTTATATTTTTTTCGTTAACTCGTTAAGTTAACTTTGAAAAAAAAGTAACCTAACTTAATTTAAAGTTAAGTTACTTTTTGCTTAATTTAAAGTTAAGTTACTTTTTACTTAATTTAAAGTTAAAATTTTCTAATTTGCAAAAATAAAAAATTGCACATATAATATTAGTTTTTCTACACTTAAGAAAATTACTGGGGAAATTATAATGATACATAAAAGTATTAACTAGCTATAAAAAAATCTACTTTTCTAAAATAAATCTTAGTCCTGAACTCATACTCAAATCAATTTACCCAAGTGGTACATCCAAAAATTAAAAAAAAAAAAAAAAACACCATTAATAGTTTTCTTCTAACTGCTAATATATCAATATTTTTAATTGATTCACACAAATTTTAAAAGTCAAACAGGCAGTACCTTATACCCAAATATATTTTCTATACTAAGTATACAAAATGCAGCCACCATGTAGTTCAAAAGACTAGGCTCAGCACAACATAGACAATTATTATCAGTCAAAATATAATTACTTTGTATTATATTTTTAGATAATAATAAAACAAATGTTAAACCTTTAATAAATATCTTAAAAACTTATATATTTTGTATAAGCTTTAAACTTTTCGTACAATAAATTTAAATACCTATTATAGAATATAAAAATAACTGTACATTTAAAATAGTTAATTATATTTATAAAAGTTGTCTTTAAAAACTTATGAATTATTACATTATGCAATTATTTGAAGTTTACCAATTTTGTATTTCCACTGTTGCTAAACATGGTAAATAATAAAAAAATTGAGTCATGACTACAGCGATCATTGTTGAAAGTCTCCACGTATCATTTAGGTAACATAAATAAGATAATCAATAATCTTATTTATGTGACTATATAGCATGTATGTGTAAATATATATGAACGTGATGTGAATAAAATACATGTTAATTGAATAATGAAATAATACTGGAAATTATACCACAGTTGTTTTGTGATTAATCCCCCATTGACACTCGCTCTCATGGTATTTACTATTTTCACAGATTATTCTTAGGATTTCCATGGGTTTATAGTGTTTATACATTAACAATGTTATGAAAATATAATGATAAAATATAATCCATATAATAACCGTAAGATCCCAAACGGCTCCCGTCTATTGTTCGCTTATTCCCAAACGGCTCCCGTCCAAAAAGGTCCAAAAAGGTTTTGTACACCATAAATTCCTTCCCACTTAATACAGACTTAAGGTACGATTTGGCTAGAGCGACTGCGACTGCGACCATGACCGTGTTTCACTGCGTCAATGTTATTATATTTACTCGTACTTTAATTGTGCTTCACAATATTTTTATTTATACATTTTTTAAATATTTTTTAACGTTAAAAATTTAAAATTTAATATTATACTATACGCTTTTTTTTATATAATTTTAATAATTTACATAGTGTACACAAAGACATTTTTAACCACACCTCTTTTGAGACAGTCCTAAGTTTTTATAAAGTGGGAAGGAATTTGTGGTGTACAAAACCGAAGCCGTTTAGGAATTTATCTGTTCGTTAGACCTTTTTGTAAAACGGGAGCCAAATGGGCTACGACCATAATAACTATTAAAGTTATTTTTCATATTATTTTCGTCTAAAGGAAATTCATATTAAAATAGTAAATTATAAATATACTAAAAATCTCATTTAACCCGTCACTAGTTGCGAGGGGTAAATAATCTCCCAATCTATTAATAAATATGTGTATCCACTTTATTATCTGTAAAACGGATTTGTAATATTGAGTAGCTCATCAAAATCATACCATTATTCGTTAATGACATTTATTTAATTGAAAACTAGTTTAGTTCGTTGTAAACACCCGTGTAAAGAAAAATTTATCTGCTTAGAGAATATTTACTTCGCGCGACTGAACGTTTATTTCAAATGACCAAATGTAGAAAAAAAATCATGCGACCAGCGATGAGTTAATAATTTACATTATTCTTTGCACTAAAATTAACTTAATTTAGATACTTTTAAATTTAAAAATTAATACGTTAATCTTAAAAAAAAAGTAACTTATTAAGTTAAAAGTTTATTTGTAAAAAAAGTAACGAGTTAATTAACTTAACGTTTTAACTTAATTTTAAATTTTAACTCGTTAATGCCCAGCCTTAATTATTAATATACTAAACTTAAACGAGCCGCAAGCCGAGAGCCAAGCCCAGCTTTATCTGCAACGCTTGAGTACAGTAAATATTAGTTTTAAATATTTACCATTGGGAGAAAATATAAGATAATTACAATAGTTACGATTCCAAAATTATTATAGAAATAATTCAGTTTATGAAGTGTTCGATCAATTATAGTCGTGTCATATATAGTCCGTGTTGTATAAATGTATAGTGTACTTTCTAATTTTTTTTTATATGGATATAACAATAAATTTGTCAGAAAGAAACAAAGAATTGGCTGTAGTGAATTTTTACAAACATAAATTAATTGGAGAACGATAGATAATATTTTGAGATGGAGGTATACTCATAATAAATGTTCAGCAATAATTTTCTGAGGGTTAGATAAACGTTGTGTGATTGAAATTTCTGGACAACACAATCATATTCAATATTCAACTAAGAAAATAGAAACATACATTTTGAGAGAAAATTAATAATAATGTAGTTTTAAATTGAAATTGGCGACATCGCAGAGTTTTATATGCTTAATCATGTAAGTTTCTTTGATATTTCTATATCCTTTGGGTGGAGACTCGTTTGCGCACATATTAATATATTTTTTAATTTACGACAACTCATTTGCGCATAAGATTGTGAATTTCGGTACAATTTGGAGTGTACAGAGTATCCATATACTCTAAAAGTATAATGTTTGTTTTAAATTGTGGTTTCCTATTAGGTTAGGACAAAATTGTTTCAGGGAGTTGCGAATAAATATAAGTTTATTAAAAAAATAATTGAAAAATGATTCTGAGATTAGAAGGTGGGTTAAATACTTTTTCGATTTATCAAATTCAAACTCAAATGACGTTCCGAATGTATTCACTAAAATAATTTCAATAGCGCCATGCAACAATAAGTATGGATTTTTCAGATTGTATATTAAAAAAATATATTGATTTTGGTACTAATTTTGGGCCAGAATTATAAGCTAGTGTAATAGACAATAACCCAAAAATAACGAATGGAGCTGAAAATTTTCAAATGTACTTTAATAATTAATTGCATAGCTCCCATCCTTACATTCACATTACATTTTATTAGTTATTCAAGTATTAATAGAAATTCAAATCGATATTGATTTAAAAATGAATTCATTCAAAAAAAAAAAAAAAAATCCATAGAAGAGAAATATTAAAAAAACTAAAATATACGAAAAAAATATATTCTGATTACAAATTTACGAAAATTGATATTTTAATATTTCTAATGCAAGCGCGCACCAATGAAAAATAAATATGTACGTGTAGGAACTTTATTTTAAACTATATAAATTAATTATTTTAAAGGTTAAATTATTTATTGTACTTACTGTTAATAATATTATTTATTAAATTATGCAATGACTTGGTTGTAAAAATGATTATAATTGTGATAAAAATTATTTTATTTTATTTAAAGTTGTGATAAATTAAATAGGTCGAACAACATCTTTAAACCTGCCAACTTATGACACCAGAATATGGATAGATAAAGATTGTTAGGCTTTATAAAGGTCAAAAGAAAACATTGTAAGAGTATAATAATTTTCCACCATCAGTAATGATAAATTCGAAAACTTGGAGAGGTACGCAGGTTATGTATAACTATATGTCAGGGGCGGTCAAACGGTCGATCGCGGACGATTTCAGAGCCGATCTTGTTAGAATTAATTTTTAGGCCACGTGCACAAAAATTAATCGTGGTGGTTATGAACAAATTGTTGATAAGTTTTACTTGTAAAATTTTAATCTTTTATTCTGATTTTTAAAAAAATTTTCCAATAAAGTCGATAAAAGTGAAGTATATTTTCAGTAGATCGTGACCAAAAAAAGTTTGGCCACCTCTGCTATATGTGGTTAAATTTCTCTGAAAAAAGGTTTTTATTGTTCGTAAATTTTGCTCAAACGATTTGTGATTTGTGCGCAAATGAGTTGTGAAAAAGGTAAATGTGCGCAAATAAGTTGCAGTCATCTTTTGATATGCCAATAAATTTGCTCAATCGTGTCGTAAAAAGAGTAGCTTTGAATTGCCCATCCCTGCTATACGATATAAGCTAGATGAGAAGTTTTTCTACCATTTAACGTAAATATATATAAAATATAAGAACATGATTAGTTAAGTATATGTATTATGTTTCTGGATGGATTTAATCAAGTATAAATGTTGGTGTTATATTTTGAAAAAATGGCACAAATACTGAATGAGGGGTGTCATATTTATATTCGCTCCCTTATACATTGATCCTTAATACAGCCCTGTCTGTACTTCTCATTAAAAGGATGCACTACCTACTTATGATATCTTCGTCTTATAAACATCCAATATAACAAATATATTGTTAATTTTGTGTTGTTAGTTTTAATAATATATGAGTGAATTTTTTTATTAAATTTGAATTATGGAATATTATCTATACTGTGACATATGTATTTTATTACATTATACATTACAATTTAAAAAGAACTCACAAATCGTTTAAAAAACGCAGATTTGCAATGTTGCACATTAGAAACTTATTATACATTGTAAAGCGAAGACAACGCAATCTTGTAATGATGTTCTCTTAAAGCAGCCGTTCTTAACCTGTGGTCCACAGCCCTTTAGGGAACCGCGATACTCATATCGGGGGTCCACGGCAGCCCAAAAACATAACATATGTACATCAATACATGGCATGAGTGCATTATTATAATATTGTTGAATTAATAATATTATTGTTTTTTTTTTAATATTTTTTATTATATAAAAAAAGATATAATATTATATTATAGATAGATTTTATCATTATACGATGTTATAAAACTTGTGTTTCAACCATCGTATTAAACTAATAAAAAATTAAATTTTAAGAATATTAAAAAAAGAAATTAAAACTAAAAAAATTAAATATGTTAATTAAAAAATTAAGTGAAATAAGAATAATTATAAATATGTACCTATGTTTTATTATATCTATTAATGTATTTTATTATATAAAATAATTATTATAATTTTGGTTTTAATAACATGAGATGTTTTGTAAAAAAAAGTATTAAAAAAAAAAAAAATTAGTAAGGGGTCCACAATTTTTAAAAATCTTTCTTCAGAGGTCCGTGAACTATAAAAGGTTAAGAACCGCTGTCTTAAAGGAAAAAATAATAAAATACATAACTTGTGATCTCAATAGATAATTTTATTTTATTATAACACGTAGCAGCATAAACACACAATTTCAAAAATAATTTCAATGTCATAAAAGATAAAATCGAAAGCAACAAAAGTTCTTTAAAGATTGTAAAAGCTGAAGAAAAAAAAGTGGAATAGCTTTGTTGAATTGTTACTTAATAAGAATTTATTTAAAATATTGTAATATAATAATATACCTACATATAATACATATAATAATACAATGACGTGTTCAGACACTCGTATGACCATACTTCATAGCCTTATGTATCTGTTAGAGATAAGTATATCACTTAGACTGCTTTAATGTACAGTGCGATAAAATTCAATTAATCTCGTTTCAATATATTTATTAATTGTTGACGTTATAACCATCAACACCGTCACTATTTTATAAGGTGGTCTGATTGAGTAATCATAGTTATACGATTATCGTATAAATTGAAACATAGATGGTATGATATTATGCACTTTATAGTTTTATTATTTCCAATGTTGTACACTACAGCAACTGATGGTGTCACATACTTGTTTTCGTTAATTCACATAGGTATATTTTACTAATGTTTATTTCCTAATCGTTATTCGAGCTAACTTTACAAATTCCTACTACTTTAGTGCACTCAAATGTGATTTCGTCTTTAAAATTATATAGTACTAGTAGTTAGCAACGATACAATATCTACCATAACACTTTAACACTCGATGCCCGAGATTATTTCTCAATATGTGTATTAAATAAAACTAGTTTGAAAATATCATTTTGGACTGAAACAACAAGACGTCCACGTGGAAACGCGTTATAGAAATCGGCCATGACATTTGCAGTGTAATAAATAAAACCATCAAGTCTCCGTAGCTTCATTGATGGTATGTAAACATTTTTGACTTGGTGTTCACAAAAAGTTAACTGTGTTAAGAAATATGTTCTAATTATTCTTTAGTTGAATACGTAGTAAATTTTTATTTTCTCGAGTACGATCCTTTTCGTGTCCGTATTCTGTAAATTCTCATTTGCTTACTATTTACCAAGTATTTATATTATTGGCAGTGGGCCCATTATTGTATTGCTATTATATCTTATTAATATTTAGTTCTTTGACATGTTTGATAAAAAATAATATTGATATTACAAATTCACATTTGTTTTGAAATTAACGCGTACCAATTAAATTCAAGATTATGTATAGGTATGTTACAAAAACGTTAATACAACATTACGCATTCATTACTTTCTCCAAACTCATAAAAATATTATTTCAACGTATAAATATTTTAGCTCTACTAATACATTTTCGTTTGTTGATATACTAATATGTTCATTAAAAATTCTAGTGTCTGTTGGAATAAAAAACTTTCACCGATGATTACAATATTACATGAGTTGTGTTCAAGCAAAATATTAAAATACACCGGTACTTGTTCCATACTAAAACGGCAATCATATAAGAATTAATTAATTAAATTGCGTTGAACACATTAATATATGTTGATATGTATACGTTACTTTAGAGCTATATTTTATGTGAAAATAATCAAAAGAAAAAAATCATCATAACTAAAATGAGGTCGATTATTTATTGGTACTTATTTATTTGTACATGTCACCTTTTCCAGGTAACATGGATTGAATATACTCCTTCGTGATATCGTTAACCTTGTAAACAACAACAGTATGGCGAACATTATAAATTTGACGAGAAATAATGTTGACAATAGCAGCGTTATTAACGACCGTGTTGGTGTAGAAAGGTACTGTGACAAAGATGACAAACAGCAATTGTCGTACAACCCATTCCAGATGCGAGATAAGTCCAGTACAACCACGTGTGTTTAATAGTTAATATTTGTTTCTATTTGACTCGATACTTATCGATTTCGATTTCCAGAGCTATTGGCGCCTTATTGCATTTAATGAAAAGTAGTCTTGGGACAGGTATACTAGCCATGCCGAATGCGTTCAAAAACGGCGGACTTATTTTCGGACTGTTTGGAACTTTAGCCATCGGAGTGCTATGTGCGCACTGCATCTACCTTTTGGTAAGACGTGCAAAGTTTTTCAATTTCTTCAAAACTTGCAAACCTGATATAGTTTGAATGCTATTTGTTGATATTCTAACGATTAGTAAATATATTATAGAAGAGTGATAATTGATGCCGATTATTGTTATATTAAATATTACAGTGATATTTATATATATATATATATATACACACAATATTTAGATGAACATACAGTCGAACTTCTATCAAATTAACTTGACGGTTCTTTGAAAGAAATTTTGTTATCAAGAAATACTAATTTTTTCACTTAAACACGATTTTACTGAACGAAATACATACAATTAATAATATTTAATAAGTCTAATAATAACGTAAAATTATAATAACAATAATGCAATTAAGTCATAAATAAAAAAAATAATAGTACATTAGTATGTAAATCATGAAATACATATATACTTCAAACTTATATGTACGTTATTTATACATTTTTAACTGTTTTTTGTCAAAAAATTATATAAAATAAAATATGATTGCAATTATTTAAATAATTGAAAATTTGGTCAATTTTCGGTATGCTAAAATCTACAACAAAATAGTTTTCTAAAGAAATTTAGTGTTGTCATAACTTACCTATACTCACTATATTTTTGAACCTTTGACATTGAATTTTTTTTTAATGAAAATGTCACGATTTCATAAAACCATGGCTATGATTTTTAATGTTGACATTGCCATTGACTTTTTTTTACGCGTGGGGCTTACTAAATATTAATTAAGTTGAAATTTTATTACTAATAATATATTATTATAAATTATAATAATATTTATTGACATCAAAATTATACTAAATTATACAAAAAAAAATGATACAAAAATTAACTAAGGTTTTGGTTCCCGTTTCAAAAACAAAACTTTTGCTAAATTGAGAAAGTTTGTTTTATTACAGTTTAATTTTATAAATTTTATTTTTTTTAATAAGAAATAATAGTACATACTTCAATATAATAAATAATACATGATAATAAATCAAATTTAAGGAGTCAATGTGTCTCTTAAAGCAATAACAAGATTGTTACAGGAATAAAAGTCATTGCAATTTTTCCAAAGTTATTATTTATATTTTATTTTTCAAAATATGACTGATATCAACATTTAGAAATTGAATTTTTAATTTTTTCCTAATATTTCAAATAATTTCGTTTAGATCTTCATTATTTTTATTAAAGATTCTAGCAAAGTCATAATAAGATTAAAGTATTTCTTATTTAATTAATTTGAATATTTTTTTAATGTACTAAATTCACTTTATAACTTTAAAATGATATTCATAAGAACAACAACTTTTTATTCTTTTTTTTTTGTCTTTTAGTATATATATAATTATATAATTATATAATTTATAATTTTACTTACCAGTTAATTATTTATGAAAATTATATTTTTTAGATACTATGCTCGCAGACATTGGCTCGCCGTATACGTCGTCCAGCCCTTGGATTCGCCGACACTGCTTATGTGGCGATTAATTCAGGACCTCGTCGATTTCGTGCCTGGTCTTCGGTCGCCAAGTAAGATAATGAACTAATAATACAATACAACTTTTAATATAACGTAAAACACTATATAAATAAATCTTACTTAATTTTAAATAAATAATGTATTTATTACTTACTCTCCACATATTATACGATAAAAGTAATAATCAGTAAATCAAGATTACAAATTTCTTAAATTTTTCAGCTGCTCATACAAGCATTTATAATCAAAGTGTACTTTTCAAGTTAATTTTTTAAAGTTAACTCTTACCATACACAAACTTTAAAATCAATCTAAAATTATGGGCAATCAAAGTATATTACCTATCATCTTAAAATGTTTAATGGTCTTTGAATTATGCATGTCATTTAATCATAGGAGAAAACTAATAATAATATCATAAATTGAAAGCAGTTTTAATAAATATTTACCAATTATAATAAGCATATAAGAATATACATTGTATTGGTGAGTGACATTAGTTAATCTGATGAATTTTTTTTTATTTTAAAAAATAAAAACCAACGTTAAATGTTCTTGCTCATTTTTATAGATGTGTCATATAATATTTATAATAAATATATTTTCTTTATCTATGATGATATAATATAATTTTAATTTATGAACCACTTAATTTGACTGAATTAACAGTTTTTATTTTATTGAAAATCGAACAGTTATTTTTTATATAAACACTTGCTAATATTATTTAAAACCCTAAAATATGACGTTAAATACAATATTTGATAGCATTATTTCAATTGTTATATTATGGTTATTTGAAGTACATAATTCTAAGGACGTGTGAGTATGTTAACCTATTTGTTTTTTGATAACATTTTTCAACAGAAAGTTTGTAGTTATGATTACACAACAATTAAGTTGTTTTTACGTATAAATATATTAATTAAATCCCAATTCAAATGAATCTATCACATAACAATTCATAGTAAAAGTGTATGGATCAAGTAGAATTCAATTGCAAAACCAACCATAAGGTTAAATACGAAAAGAATAAGATAAATTAAATAAATATATAAATTAAATATCATATGATAAAAAAAAGATTACAATAAATGTTACGCATTTTATTTTTTATGACTATGAAATTGTTTATATCAAAACATTTAAGCAATTAAAATATTTTTAAACGAAATAATATTATTTATACTATTATATTGTCAATAATATAAAAATAAATAAATTATACGAGATATAATCATTTTATTTTACTATTTTATTATATAGAGTGTCTCAAAAAGAACGCAAGATTTAAATCTGCTATAAATTAAATTTATTTCTTTTAAAAAAACATAAGAAATATTACATTCTCGTCAGGAAAAGTTAAGGTTTAACTGTGAAGAACAATATCGACCATCCCTATTAGCTCTACAGGCGATTATTCTTTCCATATAATTTATCATCACTGGATAACACATTGTCACATTAAGTTCGTTAAGGACACGACGAATTTCTTGCTTAAGTTCCAAGACATTTCGATCATTGTTATGGCAAACTCGTGACTTAGTGTATCCCTATAAAAAAAATAACATGGCGTCAAGTCGCAAGATTGAGGCGGGTAGCTTTGGCCACGTAACGAGATTAGTTTATCCGAGAACTTCTCACACAGCAGAGGGATTGTTTCTCTTGAAGTGTAACAAGTTGCGCTGTCTTGTTGTAACCATACAAGATTACCTACTGAGCTCAGTAATTGTCTTTGGCCTTATTTGGACCAAATGAACATCAAAAATTTTTGGTTTCAACTTGTCACACTTCAAAAGAAACAATCCTTTTGCTGCGTGAGAAATTCCCGGACAGACTAATCTCGTTGCTTGGCCAAATCTACCCACCTCGATCTTGCGACTTGACGCCGTGTGATTTTTTTACAGGGATACACTAAGTCACGAGTTTACCATAACAAAGTTCGGAATGTTTTGGAACTTAAACGAAAAATTCGTCGTGTCCTTAACAACAAAAAAATATCGATCACCAATTAAAATTATTATACATATCTGATTTTTTGGAGTTTATAGTATTAATATTTATTTATTTTTGTTTTCGGAATATCTCTTGTGCATTCAAATATTTCATAATAATTCTAAATAAAGAAGTTTCGTCAATGCGGCACTGTTTTGTACATACTATTTTGGCAACTGCGTGTATGTCTTATTAATATCTACCTCATTTAAACAAGTGGGTATAGTAAATATACTCATATACGTTACTACGTCTTTCTATATTTAATGTGTTCGTCAATTTTTTTCAGGTCGCCGACAATCATACGTCTCCAGAATGGCATTTCTCCATTCGTACTTGGATCTTGGGTCTCGCTTTACCACTTCTTCCGCTTGGTGTTATACGCACGCTCAAGGTGTTAGTTCCACTATCAGCCATAGCTACAGCATTCATTCTCGTCGGCTTAGGGTGTACCATTACGTGGGTGGTGACCGGTATCAGTCCATTTGTTGACAACAAAACTTTAGCGGCATCCGTTGCGTTGCCTGATATTGGGTCTCGTCCTTGGATCGCTCCCATTACACAAATTCCACTATTCTTCGCCACTGGCGTCTTTGCCATGGAGGGTATTGGCACGGTCAGTATATTAAATCATTGCAATAGTTACTTTTCAATTATTCATATTTCTTTTATGGTTATATCAGGTCCTCCCGATTGAGAACTCGATGCGCAAACCCAAATATTTCCTCCACGGTCGGCCGTGTGGAGTATTAAACTTCGCCATGATGATAACAGTGCCTTTTTATGCTGCCATCGGTTTTCTCGGATATTTGCGCTTTGGTAATACCACTGAAGGTTCGATCACATTAAATCTACCCAATGACTTGTATGTATATCAATAAAATTAAAATTAAATAATCGTGTGCTGACTTGGGCTTTTATCATAATAACAGCAATGTTTGAAGTTATGTTGATTTTACATTTTTTTCTAAATAATTTTATAGATTTTCTGAGATTGTTAAGATGTTGGTTACGCTTTCAATAATTTTCTCATACGGCCTACAATTTTGTGTACCCAGCGAAATCGTATGGGACAGTCTGGAACCGTGGCTGCGAAAATACAAACAAAATGCCAAATATTCAACTTCCACAAACAGTAAAGTGGAAACAGATGTTGTTAGCAATAATGACACCATAAACACGGTGATTTCCACAGCAAGTACTATGTCTTATGAAACAATTGAACGGCCTGAAGTGGAGCTAGAACAAAAAGAAACCCCTATGAACGGAGCGTATTACATTATGCGAGCCATCATGGTTATTATCACATGTACAGTATACTATTATATCATTATTTTTTAATTTTAGTGCATACCATATTCATTTATTTTTATTATTTACATTGCAGTTTTTATAGCTGCCATTGTACCCAACCTCGCCCCTGTTATTTCATTATTCGGAGCAGTATTTTTCTCCATTCTAGGCCTCTTATGTCCGGCCGTTATACATTTGTTTACTTTCTGGGAACAATGTGATTATTGGGATGGTGATGATTATGAGAAATCGAATGATAAGAAATTAAACAAGCAAAAATATGTCACAGCCACATTTGATGACATAGATCTAAAGCACTGTGACAATTTACAAGAAAATAATAGCAAGTTAGCGGGTGAAACAAAAGGCATGAGCTGGTTAACCGTTATCAAAGATTGTATCATAATTTTATTTGCATTGTTCACTCTGTTTGCTGGAGCACATGCTTCACTTGTAGATATTGTCGCATTTTATGGATCTGTCGATATAATTCAAGCTATCAATTCTACAGCAATACCTACTATATAAAACACAAATAATAATCAAATCATAATTGAGTTGCTTGTTAACTGAAAAATATATACTTACCATGTCTATATGTAAAAACCTATCAGTGTTTATAATGTACGCTAGAAATCATATTTACACAAACACCATTTATTATTTAAGCGTAAATAAAATTAATACTTCATTATTAGTATTATTGTTCTTCAATTTTTTGATAATATCGTTGTTTTTATTTTTAGCAATATAATTTCTTCTTTATAGCTTTTCAATGTAACTTTCAATTATCTTTATTCATAGTACTAGTGTATAATGTGATGATTTTTGAACTTGATTAATATTTAAGTATTTAAGTAATTGTTGACACATCAAGTGATTTATTAATTTATTAATATTTTAAAATTTGTTTTAGTTATAATTATAATATTTAAATTTAACGTTTGAATATAATTTACTTTTTGAGCATAAAATCTACAAAAACGATTTATCTTAAGTAAAATATAAACAAGTTAATAAATAGTTTAGATAATATCTATATTATATATTATATTAATAAATAAATCAATTTAATAATAAAATCGCGACTCAGATACGGATTTAAGTATATAACGTGACAATGAATTTTTAATTGGAAATAGGTTATACTTTACAAATATAATTATACTTTTAAATTTTTATTTATTTATTTCTATATATAAATTATTTGTTTATTTATTTATGTATTAATATACGAGTAAGAACCATTTAATATTTTTTTAATTTTAATTTAATTTTTATTATTTTATTATTTAAATTAAGTATCGAGAACCAATTTATACTTAACAAATTAACTTATATAAAACTGTATTGATTTTTCAAATAGTCAAAACATGTAAAATTAACGTCTTATATATATTTTGTTAGCAAACATGAAGAGCCGCTTAGAATCTAAAAATATAAGTTATTATTTTTCATTTGAATTAAAAAATTAATTTTTTTGGCTTAATTATTTGAATCTAAAGATTTGAAAATTTTTATTGTATTTTATTTTTATAACTACATTTTTTTATTCTATAAATTATATTTTTGATGATAAAATAATTTCATTAAAAGTTGTTTACTATTTCTTTCAAATCGAGAATTTAACACAGTAGAATACTGTTAGAACTTGTTTAATCGTATTCTCATGCAATTTTCAATAAAATAAAAAACGTTGAATATTCTAAGTAAGTATCAAGAATTTTCAATATTTATTTTAATAAAAAAATAATTTTGAGTTAAATTATTTGAAAATATAATAACAGAATAATCTTGAATTTCAGTGCTAATTTATAAATTATAGCATTGTTATTAAAATCTATATTCATTATAATATATTTTACTATCGAAGAAGAAAAAATGTAATTATGGTTGAACAATTTCAAGTGTTTAAGTATAATTAATGTATTTTAAAATGGTGTGGTTTGAGATTTTTCATTAAATACGTTTTTTTTAATTTTTGTTTTTTATATACTAATATAGATTGTATTCATTTTATGAGTAGATACTAGTACCATAATAATTATTATTATTATTCATAATACTTTATTCAGAAAGAAAAATAATGATATACAGATGCTCAGTCTAATTAACTCAATTTCAGTACTATCCAGAGGCATTTGATTAATTTTTTAACAATTTATTTATCATGGCTTTACTTCCTCATCATTATTGACATAATATATTCAAGTTATTTATTCATAAAAAAAAAAAATGTTTGCAACTTTTTTTTACTATAGTTTACTGTATCTAGAAAAATAATAACCATATGAAACTTAAAAATTCTGTTTTCTCAGAATAATATGGAAATAATGACAAAAATGCAAATTAATATATCCGGTAGAACGTTGCGAAAATAAATGTTATAAATAGTACTACAATTGAAAATTATAAATTATGGCATTGCGTAAAAGTATAATATAATGTATTGTATATTGTATATAATGTATAAAGTACGTGAAAATTTAGATTTTACAAATGTGAAATCAACATTTTACGATTTATTTGAGGTACATATGATAATATTTATTTTTTTTTATATCTGAAACTTTAATAAATTCAACCTTTCTTTATAATACAACAATAAGTGCTATTTGGTATTTCAATTTTATCTCGTACAATATCAAATAGTAAAGTGGTATAAATGAATAATAAATATATTGTTGCGTAAATAAATACATAATATTATATTACAGAAACTAGCATGGCAATTATCTATCCTACTGAAGTTTTAAAATATTAGCATATAACTTATAGTCATATAAATTTGATTAATAATTTTTGTGAACACACCAACAGTTTCAATTTTTACACTATTATCGAACGTTACCGTCGTCACTGCCATACGATTAAGTGAACAAATATACATGTAAATACACGTATACAATTCGCCCGTGGTCGTGTGCGCGACAATAAAATATACGCTGGTCGTTCTTTTGGTTGCCCATGACCTCGGAACGCGATAGAACAGTGGTAAAGTATGAGAAGCAGGAGAAATCCGGTTCTTTTGCCTTCCACGTCGATTTGTCAAAACGGCGATAAGTTTTTTTTCATTTTTTTTTTTTCATATTGGTGTATTAACTGCAAGCTAAACCGTAGTCACAGAATAAAAAAACATATAATGTATTCCCTAGAAGCACTTCGGACAATGGCGACTGCAAATAGAACAACGAGCAATTTGAAAAGGTCCAACACGATTATAACGTGTTTTTTTTTTTCTACTCTGCGCTCGTCACCGATTTGATGCATTTGTTTCACTTGTACTGTGTACAACGTACTGTATTACATACGTAGCGATCGTTATCGTTTTCGTAGGTATTCATCGAAATCGCAGCGCATGTGTTATGCATAATACATGGGCGACGTTAGTTGAACTCCGCGACTCGACGGCCGAACGCCAACGTAACATGTGTACGTGAATGTAATACATCAAAAAAAAAAAAATTAACAAAAAAAAAACAACGCGGTCGTATTCGAAAACCATCCGGCGGTTGGGAACGGTTGCGAACCGTCGGACGGTTTAGCAAACGGGTAACATCAACGTTGCCACAGCCACACGTCCGACGGATGTGACTCACGTCGTCCAGCGATCGCGAGTTCGCGAGACGAGCATGCCAAAACTCGCGAATTCGCCTCGTTGCCGACACGGGTACACGTACTGCGCAAAGCCGTGCGAATAGAAAGCGACGGCGACGCTCTGTCGTTAGCGACCGGCGGTGGGGTGGCGGGGAGAAGTTTTTTTCTCGACCTGCGCCGCCGCCGCCGCCGCCGCCTTCGGTTAAGAATGTTTACCCTGCTCCGCCCGTACCGCTGCCGCAGTGCCGACCAATCGCCAACTGCCTGTACGCGTAACACGTCGGCGCATAATATCCGCACCGCAGTCGCGGGACACGGACACTCGACATTCAGTAAAGTAACAGCCACGCGCGCGGGAGTCTCTCGTGCGTCTCAGCAAACAACGACTGTTCAATCGGAGATCATCGCCACGGGTCGTCTCGAATGCGCTGCACGGGCAACGTCAGGTGTACTCGCGGGACGTGACTTTGTTCGCATATCGCCCCGTATACGCGCGGACGGCAAACACTGTTCTTGAGATCGCGACCACGGCGGTCGAAGTAAGTAATCGCAATAATAACGTTAACGTTTACCGTTTATCCGTCTTCGTGCATGACACCATCGCGCACGTAGCTGTTGCGTACCGATTCGAAATGGTGTGCACGTTATCGCGATGTTTCAAGCCCAACGGGGTAAAGCTTTCGATCTGGAACGACTAATTGTTTTATTGGTTTTTAAAAAAATAATGTACCCGCGTAAACCGTTCACCGTTCCCGTCTTTATTTCGTACCCATGAAGCGCGCGCCTGCATGTGTGTGTGTGACTTTAACGCTGCGATTGTCAATCTCTCAAGTATTGGTCTTTAGGCCTTTGGTAGACGAACACAGTAGAAGACACGTGCCGTGGAAGGACACGTCATCTTGACCGCTTTCTCTTCTCGCCGCCTACCTTTCTCCTCCTAGCCGTCTCGCCATAACACCGCTTCGTCCTCCACCGCCGCCGCGGACAACAAGTGCGCGCATACGATCGTAACCCGCGCGTTCGGTTACTACTCGCACTGCGTACATTGCATTGCGCACGCACGCGCATTGTCGCTACGGCTTTGTCTGCACACTCTCTCCTCCGCAGCCGCCGTAATAGTGGGTTATCTTGCAGCGTTGCCGTGCTGCTACGGCGGCGGCAGCGGAAAAGAGAGAGCTGCTATCGGTGGCGGCGAAATCTATGTCACTAAACCGATGCCGCTTATTCCAAGCGTACGCGCACGTAGACACGGACGAATAGAAGAAGTTCGTCGACTGCAGCGACGCGCCTTCAGTCGTTCGACAGAAATTATTATTTGGGTTCACAGCGCTCTGTTCGTGTTCAACGATACACACGCGTGTTACGCTATTATACCGTACGTCAGGCGCGTAACACAAGAGCTTTTGCACGTAATAACTGATCGCAACACTGTGCGTTTAATTAATGTCCACGTTTTGTGCTTTTTCTGTTTGCGCAGTATTTTCGACGACGTAGTAGCACGACAACCGTCGCTCATTCGTTTACTGTCACAACGGATATCGCGCCCCCGCGGTGGCTGCGATGATTCTTAGTGCCGGCGCCGATTGCTGCACCGATTCGACGGCGGCCTCGACGACTACCGGCGATTCGACCATGATGATGGCGAATCTGCAACAAACGCAGCAAGACGAACCCTCGACAGATTTCTGGTGGTGGTCAACGACGACGGCCCAACAGCCCGACGGCGGCCCGGTTGCCGGACACCAACACCAACAAATATCGTCGTCTTCCCAACAGCAGCAGCAGCAGCAGCAGCAGCAGCAGCAGTTGCAGCAGCAACAGCAACACCAACAAATGGATACCAGTGGTGGTGGCGACAACGACGACGAGTTCGACGGTTTCGACCTGTCGCTGTTGATAAACGGCTGTGCCGAAGGATATTTCAGCGACGCCTCGTCGGCCGACTGTCGCGTACCGGCGGCCGCTATTTCTGCGACCGTTACGGTGCACACGAACGCCATGCTGAACGCCGACAGTGAATGCGATTATTACCCGGCGACCACGACGACAACGGCGGCCGTTACGTCACAGCAGCAACAACAACTGGACCTGCAACAACTGTTGTCCATATACGACGACATGTGCTTTTTCAGCGGCGACGCCACCGAGGACGACATAAAACCTTCGCCGATCTTCCACATGCAACAGTCACCAGCCGCGGCCGTTGTGACCACCACGACCAACGACGGTGACAACGTACGTCGAACCAAGACCGCCACCAGCCCCGCGGCCGTCGTACCCAGCATGGTCAATACGGCGGCTACGGCACCGCCACCGCCTCCGCCGCCGTCGCCACCACCGGCAACGACGACAACGACCAGCCACGTCGACAGCGCCTCCAAGACCACTCTGCTGAGATCGCTTCTGACGGCCTCGACACCGCTGCCGGCGATTGAACTTCTATCGTCCGCTGCTGTTCAACCGAGTGATTCGACCGCGGTAGTGGAATCCACCACCGAAGCGGTCACGGCCATCACGACGACAACGAGCAGTTTCCCCGCGGCGACGCCGCCAGCAACGGCGGCCAGCAAAGGCAACAAACATCGATTGTTGATAGAAATGTTGCGAGGCGTTAAAAACGACGATGTCGTCGTCCCGACAGCGGCCGTTCGACCCGCGAGGCGCAGACCGCGTACAGCGGCTTTCGGTACGGACGACGATGGAGAGATCCCGTGCGGATCCCGTCGTCGAATGGACGCGACTCCGTCGCCGAAGACCGATGACGGACAAGGTCTCCGGCAAGACGAAATGAACGACGAAGAGCTACTGTTGTACGGCGGTCCTTACTATTCCGTGACCGCTTCGTCGTCGTGGCTAGACCGTATGGTAGCCGCTGCCGCGGCCGATACAACGGGTAATTGTGGCATGCCCTGGAATATCCTAACACAGCAGCAACAGCAACAACAGCAACCGCAACAACAACTAGAGTTGAACCGGTGCGGAAATCCTGAACAACGAAACACCGAAGCCGACGGTGGTCGCGATAACATCGATAACATTGTGGACAACTCCTACGGTTTGGGCAACGACTTTTGCAACGACTACAGCATCGATGGCAGCGGAATATTCGACCAAAGCGGCATGGACCCCGGATACTTCTCCGTGGCTTCGAACGAAGTCGCGTACAGCCCGCCGACTGCAGCGCAAGTGCCGTCCGTTACGCCACCACCAGCGTCGTGCAGCGACCCTTCGACGACAACCAACGCGGTAAATATAATATAGTTTACAGTTTACACTCGATGGTCGATGTAATACCCCTTTGTACACCCGCAAACGTTAGATATGATTAGATAGATTTACTACCGGTGGGCCCTATCCAAATGAAAGTAGGTATTTTTGCCGAAACGATTTCTGCGTTTTTGGTCGGGTTATATAATACACGCGCAATACGTGAGACTTGAAATTTCGTTTGACCGTGTCGCAACTAAATTATTTTCGTCACGCTAATCCAATATGCGCGGGACGTGAACATTGTTACCGATACACGTCCTTCGTATGTTCTGCTCTACTCATTCGGTCCGTTATAATAAAAGAAAAATATATGTATTTAAAACGAGCGAATTATTATTCTTTGGTTTCCTACGTTTTTTTTTTTTTAGTGTCAACGAAGGTTTTTCTCTCTCCGACAATTGGTTCTTTTGTAAATCATAACCTACACGTTCAGTGGGAGGGGTTCGCGCGTGACGCATGCGCGTCGGACAAAAATTTGAGTGCAGAAAAATATTGAAATAAATAAATCAGTAGAATAATCTATACGCGAACTACAAAGTCTTAGCGCAACTCGAAACAGATGGGTGCGGCGGTGATTGTGCGCGAGGGAAACGCCCGGGCGCGCCCCACATTCCATCGCGGCGGCACGGAACAGGTTTTCGCGCGTACCCGTCGCCGTAAAAAAAAAAAAATATATATATATAAATTAAAATTATTCCGTACGCCCGCGGCGACTATGATTTCTATTTTATTGCGCGTCGCCATATTATCTGGTTCCCCGTCCCGCCGCCGCTTTTCTTCTTCTCCGTAACTTACACTCCACTACTCTATGTACGTGCACGCCACTACGTGTACGGTCACTGCTGCGGGTGTACGAGCCGTGTTTGAACACAGCCCTGCGGTATCGAATACAAAAAAAATATATATACATATGTATACATATATATGATAATTGAGCATTGCACCGACGAAATTACGAAAAGTAATCGGTAGTGCGCGATCCGTGTCGTGTCCCGCCGTATATTATGTTGAACGCTGCACGCGGGCAGTCTTTGGAATGGCGGCCGTACGACACGGAGTTTCGAGAAACCCTGCGCAATGTGTTCGGTACGTGACCAGTGCGCAAAAGAATATTTAATAGTAACGCACGTTACGACACCGACGAGGCTCTTGTACGGCATCGATGAAGTGGTTACGTAATAATATAACGAGTTTAACTATAATAATACTGCGACTAACGTTTGTGTGTTCGTAATGAGCATGTTTTAAATTTGTCTTTTTTCCTCGACTGTTACCTCTACATAATCCATTGTTGGTTCCTTCGCGTATCGTTACAGTTATTGTTCGAAACTGTTTTTCATCGTCTTTTCCACGTAATCTTATGCAGATTAATCACGTTATTACGGTTGCGTTTGATTTGCCAAGTAGAGTTTTCGAAACGCGGAAAGTCGTGGTTAACGATTTCCTCTACTGGAGGTCCGCGTCTTCGACGCGCGTGTCTGTTACGTAATCGCTGGACGACGGCGGTGGTTTATATATACCACCTTCAAATAACCTTGTGTAGGACGAATGGACGTTAACCACGCCCGCCAACGCTTTGGGAATTTGATCGTATCGAAAGGAACACGCGTGACGACGACAGTGTCCGGTAGAAAGTAAAAAAAAAATAATAACTCCCTCCCACCTCATACCCATAGCTGGTCGTGTCCACGTTCATCTCGTGCACAGAAAAATTTTTTGTTTTCCGTTTTTTTTTTTTTTTTTTACTGCACACTAATGTTTGATATGGAACGATTTAAGGTAATACTGTCGTTTACGCGACGACATGTGTTATGAGGCTGAAAACCATTCTCACGGTTTTGTCAAACACATGTATTATAATTCATTTCTACGCGGTCACGTGACCGTATCAAAAATTTTTTTTTTTTTTCTATTAAATCTGACGATTAAATTCCAATAATAATTCCTCGATAGAAAATTTTATATTGAAAAACTAATTTTCATATTTAGTCATAATATGTTTACTGGACATCAAGAAGAATATTTCGTGTGTATAAATAGATAAATGTGTGCGTCTTACGTTCCAAATACTATACATAAGTTATGACTTGTGTATTGTGTATAGTTTCAATACAGTTGCCAGAAACATTTATATTCGCGGTTGAAAATAAACAGACGAACATTAAAGCAATACAGAAAAAGTCTTCGACGATAAAAAATATCTGATAAATATATGAATGTTCTAATAGGAAAATAATTTAGGTTGTATTTAACAAATTATAATCAGTTACAGTCTACGGAAACACGTATTGACAATAGTATTTCATTACCAGCGTCTTTTTAACTAATACAACGCTCATACTGCCTCATTGCAACATAAAGGAATGGAGGAATGTCGTTCATAACAGAATAATTTGGAGAAATCGTATTATTATATTGTCCATGTAGGTCGAAAACAATTACCTTACAATTTTGATAGTATGTAACCCATGATTGATTCCGTTTAAGATATTAAAAAATTTTTGAATTCTATACTATTATTTGAAATTTAAATTAGATGCTTAAGAAATGAAAAACTTTTCAACTTTTCGTACAAATCTAAAGCGGTAAAAAACAGAAACATAAGGAAAAACCATTTGCGCGTACTATATTATTATATCATCATAATATCCTATTAACCTGTAGTAAAATTCATAATTTAATTTTTATTATTCCGTTTGCACATGAAATATTCTTTCTCAATGAGAATTCATTATCATTTATATTCGTTTAGACAATTGTATTTTTTAAAACCATATCGATACGAGTATATGTATATAATATATAAATTGTTTTTCACTTCAAAAAAAAAGAATACAACTTGTATATTTTACGTGAAAGTAATACAAATCAATCATACTTGGAGTTTAAACTTCGATTAGGTTTCAAAAACGGTTTCGATTTTTTTTCTGGTTTCAATTCAAAAAGAGTTTCGTTTTTGTCGAGTTTCAAGTTTGAAAACGGTTTCGATTTTGTATTGTACTTGAAAAACAATTTCGTCATTTATTTTCGGATTAACCGGTTTTAAGACCAAGTGGCAAGTCTCAAACCAGTTTGGACCGGGGAAAAATATTCGTTTTAATGTACTAATACTATTGCCGTATTAAAAATATGCGTGTCCGCTCTCTCGCCGCACGCACTATCCGGTGACGTGAACGATAAAATTTTACGTGGGTATAGGCAGGTTACCTTGGGGTCACGTCGTCATCACGACAACTCCAAGGACGCGCGTGCACGTGAACTCGTTCGCTCGGCGCGCACGTCGTATCTCTAGCTCGCGAGTTGAAATGTTGTTTGAATTTCCAGAGCGACGACGGCATGGTGCAGCAAACGTGTTGGAAGACGACCGAAGCCGCGGTGTCGGATGATTATTACGACCGGCTACTGCTGACGGTCATGATGGAGGCAGCGACAGCGGAGCCGCAGGACGAAGACATCAAGCCCACGCCGATTTTCCATCTGCAGAAGCCGTCAGCCGCGGCCGCGTTGGTGACGACCACCAGCACGACCGGCTGCGACGGCGTGGCCGGGACCGCCGAAAACGTAGGCAACAGCTGTATCAGCAGCAGCACGGCCAACGGCAACGGATCATCGGCAGACGGCGACGGCAGTGGCGACGCGGACTCTAACGAACCGGACGTGCTGGCGCAATTGAAGCCTCCCGTCGTTGCGGAACCACGGATCGCGACCGTCATGGTACCGAGCACCGTTACCATCCCTGCACTGGCGAACAAGGCTTCGGCGGGTGCGAACGGCACGTCGTCGTCGCAACACATCCACCTGTGGCAGTTCCTCAAAGAGCTGTTGATAACGTCGTCCGCGGCCGCCGAGCAGACCGCGACCGCCGACGAGGACGTCGCCGCTCACGTGTCGCCGCCGTCGTCTCCGGCCGCGTCGACAACGTCCAACGCCGAGCTCTCGCCACCATCGGCCGCCGGCACCGCCACCGCGAGCAGACAGCAGCAACAGATGATCCGGTGGCTGGATCGGAAACAGGGCGTGTTCAAGATCGAAGACAGCCAAGCGGTGGCGCGCCTGTGGGGCCGCCGAAAGAACCGGCCGGCTATGAACTACGACAAGCTGTCCCGGAGTCTGCGGCAGTACTACAAAAAAGGTATCATGCGGAAGACGGAACGCTCGCAGCGACTCGTCTATCAATTCTGTCACCCGTACAACGCCTAAACACTCGACAGCCAAATCGCACAAACCAGGGCTGCGAAACTGCGCGTTAACCAATACGCGTGATTTCCCGGTTCAGCTTCTTTCTCGACGTCAAAACCACACCCTAGTGGTCTATTCTTCTATTTATTCCTACACATTGTATATTTTCTCTGCACGCAATTCCTTATTGTCGTATACTGCGTAATATATATATATATAGCCACGTAGTTGTCAGTGCCTAACGGCGGTTAAGGTGCTGATAAGTCGAATCGGTGGCGGTAAGCGTTTACTCGTACTAGTTGCAAACGCATTACGTCGCGTAGCACCTCCGACCAGTGACCAGTGGTCAATGTTTCGGCGGACGTACGCGACACTCTGCGGTCGGCCATGTCGTACTCGCTGGCACGCCGTGGACGGCGGTGGACGGGCGGCGTGCGCAGTGCCGCTTACGGCGAGCGATAATCGCGGAAGGTAATTTTCGCGAACACCGTCGCCACACATCGCGTTCGGGGTTACGGGGTTGGGGGGGCTTGAGCGGGCGCGAGCTTTGGTTCGTTGTCGATAACGCGTTTTTTCGCGTCTTCTCCATTCGACAGCAGTGCGCCAACCGCGTCACGCATACCGACGGGCAAGTTCGTTCGTCGCGCGCGTATGCCCAACAGAGTCATCGTGCCGCGCAAGGTTTTCGCGGCCGTTGGCGTTCACGTGAGCTCTCGTGATATTCGGCTCCGCTTGCTAAGGGTTGATGGGGGGAGGGGGTGTTAAGCGTCTCGAGCGCATATTTTTTTTTCATTTTGATTTAAAAAACCATCCAATCGTCGATGCCGATCGGCGGTGTTTTCGGGTGGTTGTTATCGGTCCCATATATCAATGATATATTGTCTATTTCGTACGTTCTGTGAACATGTTTTTATTGTAATTATAAAATATTATATATTATAATCGTTTATCATAATAATAATAATAACAATTATTATTATTATTATTATTATTACTACCTTATAATAGTGTATAAGTTGCAATAAAATATATATGTATATTTATATTCGTAAGGTTAATTATGGGAGAGGGGCGGTTACGGTTTCAGTATGGACCGTAGAAGTTTATGAAAATATACCGATCGACGGTAATTATCATGACAAAAAATTCAACATTGATAAGTAATCGATATCGCCCGCTTTCTATGTGCAGCGATACTTATAGATCTTAATGTACACGTCTACTTAGATGTATTATTTTCTCGAACGTTTATATGCTTAAGCTTTTTATTAAATGTTTATCGTCTATGTTTTTAAACAATATTGTAATGTAATATATTATGTTATGTTTTAATCGTATTGGTTCGTAGTAATAAAATGCATAGTTGTACGCTGCTCATCCGAACACACGTTATCGTGCGGCTAAGTGTTCGATAGTGCTTCGAACTCGCTATATTCGTTTGAGCGGGTACACGCGCGTTGTAAATAGTTTACCAAAAAACGTACGCAGGTACATGGCGATTTGTCGTATCGCAGTTGTATATTATAACTGATGGTATACACCAATCGAAATGTATCCAAAGTACAAGTGCTCGGGTATATATAAATGTATATATGCACAGGAGCACTGCGATATGAACAGTCGAGTAGTTTGAATAATTTCATATATTTATGTAACATTATTCAATTGTATAACCACTTGTTGACTACATACACCGTAACTTCTCGACGTGTACAGTTGTAACAATTTAAGTTTTTATTTTTACTTTTAATTTTTTGTCATTTTTATAATACTTATGGGTAAGTGTAGGTGTGGTGACATATCGTCATCATCGGTAACGGGTTATTAACAATGTATAATAATTATGGATACATAGATGTAAGATACAGCAAGTTAACGCTGAGTCTTAGTTATTTTTAATGACTGTATTCTTTAGTTTTATTTTAGTTGTTTACTATATTATTGTTCATGATTTAATTTTAATTTTTTAATAAAATATACTTCAAATATTATATACTTTTATAAATAGCGCTTTATGTTTTTAAAACATTGAATATTGTATTTGTATACATTTTTCACATATTATTCTGTCCTTGTGTTGCTGTAAATCTTATTTCAACGGTTACTGCAGTGTGAACAAATAACTGGAAATTAGTTTACGAAATATCCGGAAACGGAATACATAATTTATCTAATACATTTATGACACAACTTTCCTTCATTTTATACTTCTCGGTAATACTTCCGGATATGCAATATCTAATACATTATAAATGTAAGACCTTAAGGCAAAAGTTTTTAAATTATTGAACAATAAAAAAAAATGCGTTTAAAGAAGAGTAATAAAAATTATATATTTTACAATTCGATTGTGAAGCATTAATAATAACAATTATTAGATACTATTTTCCTACTTAAAATCCACACACAATTATATTTATGTGTACAGATAAACGTTATGATAAGTAACAATATTGTGTTACTACAATACCTATCATAAAGGTAAGTCGTAAGTATGGTATAGATCGATTGTATTCCATATTCATATTTATTTATTCAACTTGTTTGATTGTTTTCAATAAAATCGAATAATTTTCATGTTGGTAAAAGAAAAGAAAAACATTACCCTCAAGGCAATACATTTTTTAGTTTATTCAGAATTTAAAAACCAGATTTCAATAGATCTAGACTAGTTGATATAATAATTTTATAGATATTCTATAACAATAAGACAAGGTATTAAATAGTCTTATAGTCAAAATATTCGTAAAATAAAATAATTAAATTTATAAGTCAATTATTTGTGAAATATGTAATTATATTTAAAATCTTAGATCTAATACAAAAAAATATTGAAAATAATTAAAATTTCCAATATATTATACCACTCTAAATCAAATTTTGAACATTTATAGCAATAAAAATATTAATTTTTTTTCAATAAATTTCTTGTATAATAGAACTTAATATTAATAGTCTTGTTCTACAAATTCTTCAAGTACAAAGTTATTCATCTTATACTTTTATCAATAAAATTAATCATAACAAATAATTGAATAGGTAATGAATTTGATCGTCATAACCAAGGCCGTACTGGGTCAGAAATTTCTACTGGGAAAATAAAAAAAAAACGGCCCATTTAGATATACCAATGTTATGAAAACAACCCTAAAAAACGTATATTTTCATACAAAATTACTGTTTGTTATTTTGAGAATTTGAACACTTAATACTATTATTAAAAGACACTTTATTTAATTTTATACAATTTCTATTAGAATACAATTACATTAGAAAATGCATCTATGTCTGTTGATACAATGAGCCTAAACCGATAAACATAAAAAAAAACTTCCCAACGAGTACAAGCGGCCCACCGAGAAATTTCCAGTATCCCGCCTGCCCAGTCCATCCCGGGTCGTAACATATGTTGATTCAATTTGTAATAAGAATTAAAATGTTAAAATTTAAATGATATATTTTATAGAATAAACTAGGATTACGTATAATTTTTGGAGAAATTATTCTGTGTAAATATCAATATAAGAATAAAAAAACACTGTAGAATTAATAAATCAATGTTCTGCCTACTTAGGATTTAAAATAAAATTATAACTTAACAAATTATTATAATTCATTTTAATTTTTTTTTTTTTTTT